GGATTTTCATTTCTGAATATACGGAACTGACCCTTAGTTGTTACCAGGCAAAAATGTCAATTTTTCTGAAGTTTTGCTTAATGGAAATCTACCCACAATACATAGAATTGCCTTAGCCATGCACTCTGAAATTTGAACTTGTACTATGTTGTAGCCGTGTGTTCTGTAAGGTGCAGAGGTACTCACCTGCAATGTCAGAGTACAGGACTCAGCTGCTGGAAAAGGATATCCCATGGCATATGAATTGGAAACCATTCTGATGGATTACTAACTCGTTTGGAAGGAGGTGCATGGAGAAGGTTAGATCATACATATTTTCCACAGTAAATTAGTTAGTATCAACTATAGGAAAAAATACTGTAGTTGTGAGAAGAAGAGTCCAGGAAACTCATTAAAAAAAGAGGACTCTAGGGGGTATATTTTCAAAGAATTGTGTTCTTGCATAACACTGGAGTCAAAGTTCAGAGAGTCATTTTGGTGTATGGGTCATGAGAGTCTGTCTACCAGCATGGTCACCTTTGCCTGGGTGAAGTCTGAAGACTGATACTAAAGACTTACTATCTGATGAAACTGTGAGGAAAAAAAAAAAAAAAAAAGGACATTACAATAATAATTACACAGCAACCTCTCAGTGGTAGAGCTCAGAACATTTTAGAAATAGGGACAGGTATGAACTTGTTTAAGTTATAACTGGAGTAAAGAAATAAAGTGACTTGCCCACGACGTTGTTGTGTTGCTTCTTTCCGTGTTTGTTCATGAAGCCCTTAATCAACATGGGCAATGGTCTCAGTACTCTGATGGTCTCTGTGCACTCTGAAATGAGTGTATTGGTCACATGACCTGATTTCTCATGCTAGGGATTTCCGTTTTATAGTGGGGTGATGGTATGAGGCTTGAAAGCTAGTTTGTGCTGCTTCTACTTGTGTTGTTCGTATTCTACAATGAAGACCCTTAATCTCCAGAGATTGCATTTTGGAGAACCTTTCCTCAGCATGACATTATGACCAAACAGGAAAAAGTTTTAAACTTTCAAATAATGTGACTAAATACAGATGACATTCCCCTACTTTACAAATTACTGCAAGACAGTCAGGCTCTCTGGGGTGGCTCAGGAGACCATAGGCTCTCACTCATAGAGGAACATACATGCATACTACACTGTATGGGAACAGTGCTGTCGATATGGTGAGACTGTGAATGCCTAAAACTAAGTCAAATAGTTCCTGTGCCTGAAATCTCTTCCTTGAGATCATGGAGCTTCAAACATTTCTTCTTGTAGGTGTAAACTATGTTGGCCTTTTGTGCATGTGTCTTGATGCCAAGGGAATGTCTTTATTTACAAAGGATCAGGAAACAAAGTCTGCAACTGGAACTCTGCTGCTACTGAACTGCTACTACCTGTGGGATGCCAAGTATCCCCAAATGATTAGGGATATACCCTTTGAGGTGTTGCCTAACCTTGAAACGTCCTGTTACAATGCTTCTGAATGTGTCAGCTGGAGCTGAGAGGCAGAATGACTGTATAGTGCTTTTCCGCAAGTAGCTCCCTATATCCTAGCATGAAAACATGATGTCTTGTCTTCAAAATTCTGCCTCTTAGATGAAGATTTGCAAACTGACTTCTGGAAAATTTCAACCAAAATGGTCCCATAACTTTTTAAAAGTAATACAAAACAAAAATAAGATATAGTTTAGACTATATTAAAACATTCTAGAAACTTTGCTGAGAAGCATTAGCAGCTCCGCCACATTGGAAAGAAAATGGAAATTCAGCAGGATATGCCCTCTGCATCAAGAAAGCTTTTTATCACCTTGAAAAAAACCTGGCCAACTTGCAATTTTCTGAAATACCACATAGCTTCAATGGTGGCTCTATTATTGTTTTATCAGTAAAAATATCAATCACTGAGCAAGGTTAGACTCTTGTGCATGACTATACAATAAGTGCACATTCCTTGTCAAATGACCAAATGTATCACCTCACCTTCCAGCTCCCATATACTGCTAGACTATGTATCTGTCCTGCTACCTGAGCAGGCTCATGCACAAAGGCTACAAGGGTGGAGCCCAACCTTCCTGATAACGCCTGCCTCAACAGAAAAGGAACTTAAGAAGGGCTGTGCATAGCAACTTCAAGCAGGAAGCCTCCTTGCTGTGCTCTCCCTTGTTCTCTTGGCAGATGGGTAGAGTGCAGAAAGAATCTGGTGTGAATGCTGAGGGACCAGGATAGCCAAGGAGGACAAAAGCTGGAATGAAGAGCTTCAAGAAAGACAAAAGCAGTGCATGTGAGTCAGTTCGGGGAGACAAGATTTGTTGGGCCAAGAGACTGACAAAGGACATAGGTAAAGAAGGGCTTGGGATCAGCTGGACAAAGAGAAGGGAAGATGGGATATGAACAGGGATGGTGAGAGCAGGAGAGAAAAGGAAGAAGAGGGAAAGCAGGGCAGGTTTACTACCTGGGAACAGATAGTAAACCAAAAAGAGAATAGGGAGGATCATATTGGATGAAATGCCAAGAGCTGGATTTGCTTTTAACAGAGAAGGACTGAGAAAGAGATGGGGAACTGAAGACGGAGAGAAAGTGTGGGGAGCTTAAAATTGCTGCAATAGCAAACTTTATAAAAGCCTGTAAATGGGAAAATAACTGTAAGTACTTAATGAACAGTATACAGTGGGGGAAACTAGAGGTACTACAGAATTGGGCTTTGTTTTATGAAGTGGTTCGTTTTATGGAGCCGAGCATTAGCACTTGGGTATCTGCTTTTGGTTTATGCACCCTGTGCTTCTTTCTGACAAGAATCATTCCTTTTGATTAATATAAACTGCCTCTGCCTATCGCAGCTTTAGATTTTCATTCCAGTTGGGATATACTGGTAATTCTGAGATGCAAAATCATCTGAATGTATTGCAGTTAAGTTCAGTTGTTTAAATCCAAGAACTAGCTGGATACTATAAATAGGCGGGATGTGCAAAGAAGCCAAGTTGAAAATGTGCAGCAGCTATGGCTTTTTCTTTAATGCAACCCTGAAGTTGTTCTACATTTTGTCACGTATAGTATTTTTGATCTGAAAAAGAAAATATGCATGTGCCTGGTGGTTGTAATAACTAACTGAACATAAATAAACATTGATTTTCAAATTTTAGAGATACGGATGAGGGAAAATGGGTAAGTTTTTCTCAAATTCTGGTGCTTCAGATATTTTCTTGGAGGTAGTTTTCTGCAAGATTGGGTAGAGAGAGCAGAAAGACATCTGCTTCATATTATACGATGGCTGAACTTTGGCAATTCAAAAAGATGGCACTTTAAAAAAAGAAATGAAGAATAAAAAGAGAATTTTGGCAACTACAGAATGGAGCAGCAATTACAAGAACTATCTTAAAATTCCCAGGTTTCATGATAGATTTTTCCACACATGCATTTTTCTAATGTTGTGATGTCAACAGGAGTGAGGGTTGGGAGAATACTGGAGGACTTCACCAGGTACAAAAATCTGTGTGAAAAAAACTCCTTTCCTCAGATGTCCCCCCTGCAGCAGCCATTGTGATTAATATCTGGGCAGCAGTCCAGAACAATATGTGTCAGTATGGTGGATAGGAAGGAGTGCTTGATTATCATGACTATCATATTTTTCTGCTGTTTTCTTCAGTCAGTGGCTATTAAAATATTAATACAGTCTCCTCCTTAACTGCCATTAACTGTGTGTGTGTGTGCAGATAAAATTAATGAGAATCACAGACTGGTTAAGGTTGGACCTTTAGAGGTCCCTCATCTAGTCCAACCTTCCTGCTCAAGCAGGAAGCCAGAGCATGTGGCACAGGGTGGCATCCAGGTGGGTTTTGAAGACCTCCAGAGAAGGAGACTCCACAACCTCCCCAGGCAGCCTGTTCCAGGGCTCTGTCACCCTCACAGTGAAGAAGTCCCTCCTTATCTGGAGATGGAATTTCCTGTGTTTCAGTTTGCACCCATTACTCCTAGTCCTGTCACTGGCCACCACTGAGAAGAGCTTAGTCCCTTCCGCCCTACGTTCCCCCTCCATGAACTTATACGTGTTAATCAGATCCCCTCTCAGCCTTCTCTTCTCCAAGCTAAACAGGCCCAACTCATTCAATCTCTCCTCATATGAGAGATGAGGATGTACGATGCATTTAGGAGGAAAGGTAATTCACACAGTGTAACAGCACCTATCACTACTTATTGAAGTTTCTGAATTTTTTCCTCTTTATATAGTCCCCCAGTAAATATATACATATATATATTTTTAACATTAATATAAGGTGTCCCCAAAATACAAAGTGCTGAGATTCTCTGCTCATATGGTAGAAATTTTCATCTCTTAGTGAAGTAGGTGGGAGCTGAGGATACAGAGCATCTGTCTGTTTTTGAACAAGACTATGGGGTGTGACGTGAGAACCTTCCAAGAATACAGTAACTGATGTGGCCCCTGGGACTGGTTTTCACAGTCTCATTTGGAGAGTGGAACACTTCAGCATTTGAATGGTTGGGGGCTGGAAAGGCTGGGAGTCATGTTTTCCCCTAAAATGGGGTCTAAGCTACATGGCAGTACCCCCAGGTTGTTCAGCAACTCAACTGTCCTGAAATAGAACACTGAAACAAAATATGTTCATATAATGATTTTTAAATAAAAGCTAATGTGAAAATGTAGGAGTTTGAACCAATGTAAACATATTAAGTTTAAAATCATTTTCAAAAGTAGTGAAGGAAAAAATGGTGTTCCTGCTCTTGATATTCCTAAAGGACACATTTCTCCTTCTGAGTCATGATTTAATTAGATTACATTTTATTAGACATTCTTTACAAATTTTAAAATACTGCTATTTTACATGCACAAAGAAAATCTGTTTGAGCAATTTTATGTAGGCATTCAATGAAGTCAACCACAAAACAGGAACATTTTATGTCAGTTATCAATGTACTCGGTATGTATATCTAAAGTGCATTATGTTACAAAAAATATAGAAAGTCAGCAGCACCAAGATACTTTCACAAAATAAATACACCGGTCAACAAAATAAATTATGGTAAGTGTGACAATAATAATTGTCTTAGCCTTAGCCAAAAAAAGGGGAAATTCACAATAACCAAATGTGCAGTTTCAGAGAGCAACGGGGGGAAAAGGTTTTATTCTTAGCATTTACAATATTTACAGGTAATAAATATTTTAATACTTCCCATATGTTCACTATTACAGAATACTGCAATATGTCTTCCAAAAAACTCTTGCTGAAAGTGTCAGCGTCTCCTGCAAAGAAAAGTAAAAACAAATTATTTTTCATTTCAAATACATAGACATAAGATAATGATAAGACTGTCACAGATAAGGAGTATGCTTTGCTATTAAAATTTTGCACTAACAAGTCTAGTTTAACTACAATAAGCTATTAAACATCTATTAAACTGTCTCTATTGCTTTCAATTAAATACAACTAGCAGCAGCAGATCTGCAGTCTGTCATGAAAATGAGGCACTGTATTCCATTATATATTCTTCTCAGAGAAATAAGATGAGGCTTTGGCTTTCTGTAAGAATTTATGCAAGAATACTCCTGAATGCAATGGGTAGAAAGAGTAGATCAATCTGTATCAAACAGAAGAAGCTCTAAAAAGAAAATATAGTGAGGAAAATGGGAAAATAGTTTTTAAGGTGGAAAAATAAAAATCATTATTTCCTCTGTGACACTCATGTCTGTTGTGTGAGTTGCTTGGATATGAAGTCAGGCTTCCAATTATACCTATTCCACAGAAGTCCTTTGGGCCTTCTTCCTCAGTAATGACCACCCATTAGTCAAAAGACTACTTATTTTAGAGATGTACTATACTGACTTGTAAATGAATTTTTCTTCAATAAAGTCTGCTAAGGTTCTGAACCAATGCTTGATTGAAATTTTCTCTTAATGCTTGAAATGAAAAAAAAAAATAGTCTTTTTGTCTGCCAAAGAGCTTGATGCTAAAAGAAAATGAATGTCTCCTGCTATGTTCTGAGTACTCGCAACTCCTGAGGAACTAAACAAAGGCTGAAATATTCAACATCTTTCTGTATGCTTTCCTAAAATTGGAAGTTTTCTAAGGGTTGCTGACAGACTGGTGTAAATTCAGTAATCCTCCCTTCCATGTGAATTCATGAGAACAAAAGCAGGATCTGCTCCTATCTTGTCAGTACATTCCTTGCAGTATAATATTATAATTTGAAGTATTTATAACTGTGCTTTAGAAAATAATGAAGGGTTTGCCTTCCCCTGCCCTTCTATCACTCTATGCAGTACATTTCTGTAATGTATGTTGGCTTCCTTGGAAACAGCTATGGGGTGGAATGTGAAACTATGGAATAGATTATCATTTGCTATCCTGCTGGCCTGGTCAGCGAAGCTGTAGGTAGTGGTCCAGATTGCAGACATGTGTGGGTGTGAGGCACAAAAAAAGCCAGATTCTTGAGAATTTAGGGATTTCTCAATGTGCATATTAAAAGTAGGGCTACATTTAACAGTAGGCAGTCTACTCCATATGAGAAAATCTGAGAATCTGAGAAAGATTCCAGAAATCTTTCCTGAAGATTTTTCAGGAAATTAGGTAATAACAGTTAAATTCAATTGAAATGGGAATATACTTGGAACCTCCATGAGAAAGAATTAAGTGGCTAGTATGGAAATGTTAGCATGAGACTCACTATTAATTAACTAGCAATACTGATATTATATTAAGTAGGTATATATTAGGTATATTATAATATGTATAAAGATGGTCACATAATTTATGCAGCATAACTGCATGTGAGTCTGCACCTTATGGGCCTATTTTCAAGACATTGGCATTTTCACTCTGGTTTGGATTAAGGCTCAATAGGTTTGAGCTAGAACACTGTTGAGGATGGCTTTTATATCACCAACAATGTGCAAGTCTCTGTCTGTGAGAGACATAATGCAAGATAATGCAGATCCCAGATAATGCAGGTCCCAGATAATGCAAGATCAGCTAATTTTATGAGATTCTTCCTGTAATAAGTCAAAAGACCTAGAGAGCAGGTCATTTTCAGTCCTTGTGCTGACCTGAGCCTAAGATTTTGGGATGACGGATGAAACTGGCATGAGGATTGTAGTTTAGCCTGTTGAACAGGAAGGAAACGGAGCGATGCTGTGAAAAGCAGACTCGAAGTTTATCTTTGCACTTCCTGAACATCTGCCTGGCATTACGCATATCCATTTCTTCTCCATAATGTAATGGTGCTTCTTCTGATCTGCAGCTAGTTTTAGAGATGCTACAAAAGCCACTTCTGTTGATGTAACATGTGGATATCCTGACTGGCTATGCCTTCCTCATCCCCAGACAGCAGATAGAGCTGAAGTTCCTGTTTCAGCTACATACAGCTGTGGAATGAACTTCACTCAGATGTGGTCATCCGAGCTGAAATGTGCTTGTCCACCTTGTTCCAGCAGTAGCATGAAAAACTGCATCAAACCTGACTCCTCCTATCCAAAATATACAGAGACTTGGCACTTGTCTCCATTTAAAATTTCATAAACAATACCTTTTTGCTATCTTACTTGGATAAACATAGCCGGATATATTAGCCATTTCTAAGAGCTGAATTTGCACATTATATTCTACTTTTGGGAAGGAGGAATTTGTATTCCTGTTTTATAGTTTCTCTTTGTTTAATCATCTTCAATTAAGTAACTGAAATACATACACGACCCGTTAGGAAACTGTTCTTCTCCCTGGAATAAATATGAAACTTGGGCAGTAATGACAGGAGGTTCAAGTTAAGGGTAAGGGCTGACTGCCCTTAGTCATCTAAATGTGTTTAAAACTGAGTCTAAATAAGGAAAATCTAGAGGATTGTATCTGTACCTCATTTACAAATCCCACTGGATATATACAACAAAAGAAATAGTCATAAAAACAAATAATACTCAAAATGCCTTTGGATGTTTTTTTTCTTCCCCTACATATAAGGTTTCTACATGTTGAAGACAGGAGTTATTTGTTCACCATAATAGTTTCTTAACATCTGTTGAAACTTCAGTCATCTCCTGACAAAAGTCCCAGAACGTGCCTTTCCTAAGGCACTGAATGAAAACCAGCCTCCGTTACCTCACTACACATTGCTAATGTTATGCTAACGGGTTTATGGTTAGGAATGCTGAATGCCTTTCCTTGAGGCCAGGAGGTCAATGCCAGTAACTCCCATAGATACCAGCAGAAATTGAGGCAGTGGAGCATATTGCAAACTGCAGGCTCATAAAGCTTAACCTAAAGAAGAATTTTAGTAAATCCCATGGCTGGCATCTCTTCCTAAGGGTCTTATTTTGAGCAGGTAGCCATTTTGTTGGGTCTCTTTTTAGCCAAAGTGGAAGGGAGGACAGAAAGGGCAGTGAGGGCATTCCAGCAGAATGTTGCTGGAAATGAAAACTTTTGAGGAGAATTGAGGAATGAACTGTTTGGTTTTGTCTCCACATGTTCAGACCTCTATTCAAACTCATATGACTGCAAGTGCACAAGTTACTGGGGTCACCTAGGCTTCAGACTCCAGTTCACCACTGCCCTGAGAATCCGTCATTGTCATATAGGAGGAAAGCACATCTCTTTCCAAAACCAATGCTCAGCATTTTTCAGCCACAATGTAATTGTTTCACAAGCTGGCAAAAAGCTGGAGCTGAATTAAAAGTCCTAATGGCAGGGAAAATTTTATGGCAAAAGCTGGTCTGTGTTGGTTGTAGATATTACTAAGAGAGAAATTTTCTGTGTTCTACCCTAAGGATAAGCAGTAAAATGAAAAACTGTAAAGTAAGGGTAGGAAAGTTGCCAGAAAGGGGAGTGTTGAGAAGGAGGAAAGAAAACTTTGCCATTTTATAGATGTAGAGCTTTAAAGAGCTTTAAACAAAACTCAAATCTTTCAGTAGGCTGAGGCCCAAATGTGGGACCAAGTTCTCAAGTGAGAGATACTACATAAAAACAGTACAGGAGATTTTATGGCTGTGATATGCATTCTTTCAGCAGAGATATCTTTATTTTGCCCAAAGAATCAGTTTCAAGGAGATTATTTTGACCATAAGTAGTGTACTCTATAGGAAGACAAGATTATGTTGGAGGACAGGGGACAGTGAGGCTGACCTTGCTGTGGTGCTGAGTAGCTCTGTGAAGCTAGAGGTAAAAGGTTTCCTTCCTGGCATCAAAATTCTCAGTATACAAGGGAAACTTACCTTCAGAAAGTATTATGAGATTGTACAGTGCTTGAAAAGCTATATGCCCATTAGCATAAAGGTGTGCTAAACTCCAGGAGCAAGTGAGGCCTTGACCTCATGCACAGGAGTATAACAATTTCTGTAAACATATGGTAGTGCCCTGGAAAACATATAGCAGAATTACCTTAAAGTGTGATCAAGTGTAGTAGCAGAGATGTCCAAGAGTGGGTTCTCTGTCGTACCACTTCCATACATGCCAGGATTTATCCAAGTTGAACGGGCCCGCCTCTTTTTTTTCTCTTGTTCCTTACGTTTTCCAGGCTTTGCTTTCTTTTTCTTTCCTGATACCTTCAGGGGCTGCTCCTTGTAGGTCTGCGATTTGTTTGTCTCTTGAGTTAGGTATCTGCCTTCATCATCACTGCCAAATCGGACGGGGTAATTCTTTGTGTTGGTAGCAGGCTTAGGATTAGGTGAGACCTCTGAAGTGGCACGGATTTCTGCAGTGTTGACACCTTCAATTAAATTTTGAAGGAAGATTCTTCTTCGTAAGTCTTGGATCGACTTGCCTTTGTCATGCAGTAGTTGATGCTCAGATACAGCCCTTTTGCTAGAGAAAGAGAACAACAGAAGGAGAAAAAGGATATTCAGAATTTGGTTATTATTGAAGCATGGAACAGCTTCTCTCTCCTTGGGCAGCAGTGGCCTCAGTAGTTGTGTACCAGCTCTCCAGTTTGGAGACATCAAGCTAAGTCAGACTGTTGGAGCAAGTTCTGTTTCTTGGAGTCGCTGCTCCCCACAGAGAAGGGAAAGACCTAAGCCAGTAACAATTCATAGCTGACTGATCATACACCACCAGACCTGTAGCTGGATTAGTCACTGCTCTGTTCTAGGAAAGCATTAAAACTCTTAATATATCACACTAAAACCAAGAAGGCAGTTGCCAGAGACAGGAGAACTAGGGGGTCAGATGAAGGAGCACATAATAATGCAATCCAACAAGAGAGGGAATAAATATTGAAGCCGGAAGCAATGTTTATCATTCTAATAATTTTCTTCTGCTCAGTCATGTACTTAAAAAATATAAATACATAAAAGTGCATTTCAGTTCTAAATTTAAATAAGTGCAATTGCTGAAGTGTAATGGAAAAATGTTCAGTTTTGGGTGCCTAAGACATAGACACTTCAGCCCATAATGAGATATCCAGACAGGCAGACTGAGCATCAGCAGTGATGAGCTTCGGCCATTCCTGTTGGTTTTACTGCTTGGCCACCTGTGTCTAATTATGGTTTCACGTGGCTTCCTGATAACTCCCTTAAGGGTGAACTTTGGGGGCTGAATTCCTCATATTCTGTGCTCTCAGGGTCTTATGCTTGTTCACTGGATCTTCCTTCAGAGCATCTTTGTTTGTTTAAACAGATTTCTGGTACTCCTCCAGAGTTCAGTTATTCACCACTGCTACTGTGACATTTAGGTTCACTAATATCTGCCTTGTTCTCGAGGAAACTGGATGGTGGCTTACCTATCTTTTTTTCAGAGCTTAATGGCAAATAAAGTGTGAAACTTCTAAAAAAATGAAGATGAAAGTGGTACCTGGATAATAAATAGCCATGAGAAAGTGCACAGATTTTTCTTGCTGTGGAATAAATGTACAGCTGCGCTGTGAAACACAGCAAGAGTACAAGCTGGGATTTTAGTTAATGTTCCCATGAATGCTATAATATAATTTATGCTTCCAATTGCCCTACTTCATTTTGCTGAAATTGGCTATGTACCTTCTTATCTTGCATGAGGGTGGTGTGTGTGACTGGATCCTTACTAGCCAAAGGAAATTAATTCTGTCCCTTGTTTGTCATATAATAATTTGGTCAGTTAGCTGGATACACAATTATTTCTAAAAGTGGTTGAAATGGGAGACTACACATAACAATCTGCATGAATATTTCTTCCATCTATCACATCTCTAATTTTCCCCATTTCTAATTTTTTTTCTTTACAAAGACACTTTTTGTCTTTGTAAATCTGCACTTTTTGAGTATTAAGTTAAAGTGGTCACGACTTAGTGCAAAAATCAAATGGAAACACAAGCTCTCCCTCACTCTAAGATGAGACTGAAAGATTTCACATAAAATGATACAGCAAGCGTGCTTGCCCAAAATCAGGCCTAGATATGCTAAGAGGTTTGTGAGCACATATCTGCTCCAATATTGTCCTTCTGTTATGTATCCCCAAATGAGGTCAGTTTTGGATGACATCAGACTTCAGGGCAAGCATATGCCCTTCAACTCAATGACTCTAAGCAAAAATACAGTGCGATAATACTGAGCTCAATCCATATTGTTTCGTTCTCTTCAGTGCAGCTGTGACCATTAACACAAGCTCAAGATCTCCCCCAGGAGAACTGTTTTGACCAGTACACTTACTGAAGCTCTCCAACAGCCATCTCTAACCACCTTCTTGTTAAGGACAGACTGATTTGCAAGCATGTTAATAAAACTAGCACCTTGGACTCTTCTGCATGGCATAATTTTGTGTTGTTCCTCAGTTTATCCTTAGTGACTCAAATTACGTTCCTAGCTCAAGAACACTATTTTCCCAGGCTATTTCCATGGGAAATGGAAAAGGTTTCTCCTTTCACTCTTCTATTTTATGAAAAGCACACAACGTCTTAGTGCTTTACTGAATTTAAAATAGTATGCCTCATGTGATGAGCAAAGCTTTCCTACCATCTCTTGTAAAGAATCGAGGATAATTCCTTTTATCACAGACAACCTAAAGCTGTCTTAATCCTGTAATGTGTATTTGGTCAATTTACCCACTGTTACAAAATCCTGACTCTCCAAAGCCTGTTATTAAAGGACTCTTGTTTGAAAAGTTATTCCATTTTGCAGAGTTGAAACCTAAAGATTTGGTTCCAATACACACAAGACAGTCAAACAGCATTACGGGACATACATCTTGTGTGAGTATGCATTTCCAAAATAATTGGATTGACGTGTGAAAGTTAGTGTGCCAAAGAGGGTGGCTCTCTGTTTAAATGCCTGTATGATATTTAGCATCAAGTCTGGCCCCGAATAACGTTCTGCTATTCCAGATGATTTTGTATAACATTACGTAGTGTTACATTTCACATGACTTCTATTACTCAACCAGACCTGAGGATTACATTTTGCCTACCAATTTCCTTTGTATACTGTAGATCAAAAAATCTCCCTAAAATGAAGATGCGGTAGATGCTTATCTCTTTGACCTTCTCCATCCCTCAGCTCCGTCATTCAAACAACTCCTGTGTTTGTAAACCAGAGAAAAAGAACTTGCCCAATGAGGTTGATGCAAGAAGTGCTTCATATCAAGATATTAACAACATCTCACCCACACACACGGTAGGAAGGAAATGGAAAACAAAATGATTGTATTCACATTTTGCATGTATGTAAGAAATATCAGACTGTTAGGGTTAAGATGACCCACTAGAGGTCCCTTCCATCCTTCTATTAAAATACACATCTCATCTGAGACAAAAAAGAGTCTGACCCCAAACCAAGTGCAGTAAATGCTAAGCCTTATGTGGTGTTTTAAGAGGCATTTTGAGAGCAGGATGATGGTTTGTATTTGGCCAAAGTGCCCAAACTAATTATTGTATCCAAGTATAATGCACACATATGAGATTTAGTATCGAGGGAGAGGGAGAGGGAGAGGGAGAGGGAGAGGGAGAGGGAG